TTTCATTGTGATGTCTTTACCTGGTTTTGGTATTAGGGTGATGCTGGCTTCATAGAATGAGCTTGGAAGTGTTCCTTCCTCTTGAATTTTTTGTAGTAGTCTGAGGAGGGTAGGTTTTAGTTCTTCCTTGAATGTTTGGTAAAGCTCCCCTGTGAAGCCGTCTGGGCCTGGGCTTTTGTTTGCTGGAAGGTTTCTGATGACTGCTTCAATTTCTTCCATAGTTATTGGCCTATTGAGGTTTTTAGATTCTTCCTGATTGAGTTTTGGAATGTTGTATTTTTCTAGGAATTTGTCCATTTCCTCCAGGTTGTCTAGTTTGTTGGAGTAGAGCTGTTCATAGTATTTTTTAACAATCATTTGTATTTCTGTGGGGTCTGTTGTTATTTCGCCTCTATCGTTTCTGATTTTGTTTATTTGGGTCCTCTCTCTTTGCTTCTTGGTGAGCCTGGCTAGAGGTTTGTCAATCTTGTTTATCCTTTCAAAGAACCAGCTCTTAGTTTCATTGATTTTCTGTATTATCTTTTTGGTCTCTATGTCATTTATTTCTGCTCTAATCTTTATTATCTCCTTCCTTCTGCTCACTCTGGGGTTTTCTTGTTGCTCTCTTTCTAATTCTTTGAGTTGTAGCATTAGATGATTTACTACCATTTTTTCTTGCTTTTTGAGATAGGCCTGTAGAGCTATAAACTTCCCTCTCAGGACTGCTTTCATTGTTTCCCATAGGTTTTGGATTGTTGTGTTTTCATTGTCATTAGTTTCCAGGATGCTTTTAATTTCTTCTTTGATCTCATTGGTAACCCAATCAATATTTAATAACATGCTATTCAGCTTCCAAGTGTTTGAGTATTTTGGGTTGTTTTTTTTGTAGTTCATTTCTAATATTATGCCATCGTGATCTGAGAAGATGCTTGATATGATTTCAATCTTCTTGAATTTGGGTAGACTTTGTTTGTGACCCAATATGTGGTCTATTTTTGAATGTGTCTTATGAGCCCTTGAGTAGAATGTATATTCCGTGGCTTTGGGGTGAAGTGTTCTGAAGATGTCAATTAAGTCCATCTGATCAAGTGAGTCATTTAGGGTTGCTGTTTCTTTGCTGATTGTTTGTCTAGAGGATTTATCCAGTGATGTCAGTGGTGTATTAAAGTCCCCTACTATGATTGTATTGTTGTCGATCTCTCCTTTGATATCTTCCAGGAGTTTTTTTTATGTATTTGGATGCTCCTGCATTGGGTGCATAAATGTTTACCAGGGTAATATCTTCTTGTTGTATTGATCCCTTTAGTATTATGAAGTGGCCTTCCTTATCTCTGGTTATGGCCTTCACTTTGAGGTCTATTTTGTCCAATATAAGTATTGCTACCCCAGCTTTCTTTTCCTTTCCATTTGCCTGGAAGATATTTTTCCATCCCTTCACTTTCAGTCTGTGTGAGTCCCTTCTAATGAGGTGGGTCTCTTGTAGACAGCAGATGTATGGGTCATGTTTTTTTATCCATTCAGCCACTCGATGTCTTTTGGTTGGAGCATTTAGTCCATTTACATTTAAAGTTATTATTGAAAGGTACTTGTTTGTAGCCATTTCTTTTTTTGTGTGTGTGTGGCTGTTTTCTTTCTGAGCTTGATGTTTCTTCTTTTTACACCAGTCCCTTTAGCATTTCTTGCATGGCTGGCTTGGTGGTGATAAACTCCCTTAGCCCTTTTTTGTCTGTGAAGCTTCTTATTTCCCCTTCAATTTTGAATGATAGCCTTGCTGGATAGAGTATTCTTGGATTCAGTCCTTTGCTTTGCATCACTTTGTAGATTTCCGTCCATTCTTTTCTGGCCTGATGTGTTTCTGTTGAGAAATCATTTGATAATCTAATGGGAGATCCCTTGTATGTTACTTTCCGTCTCTCTCTTGCAGCCTGTAAGATTCTCTCTTTATCCTGAACATTTGCCATGGTAATTATGATGTGTCTTGGTGTGGGTCTTTTCGGGTTCACCTTGTTTGGGACTCTCTGGGCTTGTGTGACTTTTTTCTTCCCCTCCTCAGGGAAGTTTTCTGATATTATTTCTTCGAATAGGTTTTCTAATCCATGTTCAACTTTCTGTTGTTCTGGCACCCCTATTATTCGTATGTTGTTTCGTTTCATGTTGTCCCAAAGCTCCCTTAGGCTCTCCTCCTGTCTTTTAATTTTTTTCTCCATTTGCCGTACAGTTTGAGTGTGTTTTGCTTCCTTGTCTTCTAATTCACTAATTCGGTCCTCCGCTTCTCCCAGTCTACTGTTGATACTTTCAATGGAGTTTTTTATTGAAGCTATGTCGCTCTTCATTTCTTCTTGGGACTTACTTAAGTTGTTGATTTTTTCATCTGTTTCTTCTAGCTTCTTGCATAAGTAGTTGAGTTTTTCATCTGTTTCTTCTTGCTTCTTGAACATCTGGTGCATGTACTCTAGGAACCTTATTCTGAATTCTTTTTCCGTCATGTTGCATATCTCTGTCTCACTTAGCTGCTTTTCTGGCGAGTCCTCCTTTTCTTTCCTTTGGGGGTTTCTTTGTCTACCCATGTTTGATCTCACTGACATGACTAGTTGTTGAATCGTTCAGTGGCTGGACCCTGGGTGGCAGTGGCTGCTCCCTGGGTGGCAGTGGCTCCTCGGGCTGTGGTTGCTCCTTGGGCGGTTGTGGTAGCAGCGGCTCCTCTGTTGATAGCAGAGCCTCTGGTGGGTGCTGTTCACAGCTGTGGTGGCTCTTCTGGCTGGTGGAGGGAGGCTTCACTCACAGCAACTGTTCCCCAGGCAGAGCGTATGGTGATCAGGAGGCCGCTGTTGCTTGAATCTTTCCGTGGAGGGGTGCAGGTCCCCTCTGGGCTCTTACAGTCGCGTTGCTTGCGAGTCGTTGCCTCCGGGTTAGTAGCCGCCGGGTTAGTAGCCGATCTCTGGATGCCGGTAACAGCTCCCTAAGATGGCGCGGTCTCGCCGCTGCGCTGGCGCCCAGGGGGAGGTTTCAGCCTCAATCTCCAACCATCCGCATTTTTTAGGAGTTCTCTGTCTTTCCTGGCTGCAGACTGTCTCTCAGCTGAACCTCCCCAGCTTGATCGGGCTGATTGTTACCCGTTTCAGCTGCTCGCCCCTATCTGCTCCGGGACAAAGCACCAACACGTCCGTCTAAGCCTCCGCCATTTTTTTTTCTCCTTGGTGAGGAGTCTTGATTAAAGTGAGGCCTGGTGGGCAGAGCGGGGTGGCACACGGTTAATGGGTGGTAGAGCTGGCCCTTAAAACCAGCTCTATCTAACCCTGGGGCCCATGCTGCCAACCCCCAGGCTGCCTGCAGAAGCAGTTAGTCTTAACTACGAGATGTTTATCCTTGTCTGGCCACATCCCCCAGCGGGGCCAGGGCTGGGGATGGCTGCTAGAACTGGCATGTGGCCGGAGTCAACCAGACGGCCTGGCTGAAGGGCATCTCCGTCAGGCAGCAGTGGGCCTGGGCGCTGCTGAAGGAGGGGAAAAGGCAGGGAAGATGGGGACCCTGGTGGCTGGCCCGTTCTGTTCCCTTAGGTGGTAGTGGTTGGTCCCCTCTCCCTGTGTCAGAACCGACATGGCTGCTGTCACCAGTGTTCACAGAAGGCACAGCTGCCCTTAGCGGGGCTGGGACCTCGGGCCAGTGCTTCATCCTTTCCCCTGGGTGCCTGGCCGGCCTCCAGGAGGCCTGGCCTCTGTCCAGGGAGTGTGAAGAGTAGGCGGTGAGCGCTGCCCCTTGGCCCCCAGGTGAACTGCCCCTCTCGCTGGCGGCATGCACCAATCAGTGGGATGTGGTGGCCTACCTCCTGGAGAACCAGCACCAGCCTGCCAGCCTGCAGGCTGCCGACTCGCTGGGCAACACGGTCCTGCACGCGCTGGTGATAATCGCAGACAACTCAGCTGAGAACAGCGCTCTGGTGACCCACATGTACGACAGGCTCCTCCAGGCTGGGGCCAGCCTCTGCCCCTCGCTGCAGCTCGAGGACATCCCCAACCTGCAGGGCCTTACACCCCTGAAGCTGGCTGCCCAGGAGGGCAAAATGGAGGTGAGTGGCTGCCCCCACCCCCCACCTGCCCAGGAAGCAGAAAGAGCCTGAGGAGGTGGTGGAAAGCAATGGTTTCCCCATTTTTCAACTGAACACTCCTGTTCATAAGAACAGTTCAGCACGCACCTCTGCCATGTGTGTTTATTGAGAAACTGTACCTAACTACTGAACCAATATATTACATTACAAAGCACAGGGATTTTCCCCATTTTATTTTTAGTTTTTATTGAATTTATTGGAGTAACATTGGCTTCAGTAAATCACGGGCATTTTTTTAAAAAAAGTCATTTGGGCCCTAGCTGGTTTGGCTCAGTGGATAAGAGCATCAGTCCATGGCCTGAAGGGTACTGCGTTCGATTCCAGTCAAGGGCATGTACCTCAGTTGCAGGCTCCATCCTCCACCCAATGTATGTCTCTCACATCGATGTTTCTCTCTCTCTGTCTCACACCCTCCCTTCCATTCTCTGTAAAAAAATCAATGGAAAACTATCCTCAGGTGAGGATTAACAACAACAACAAAGTCATTTGGGTTTCTTGATTAGGAGACAATCTATTCATGTCCTTTCCTATTCTGCCATTAGACTTGCTCTTGGGTTTTCTTTACCTGGGTTGGTAAGTGTCCTTTATACTGAACAATTAGCATTTTATTTACTCTCACAGTTGCAAAATTTTCTCACAGCTCAACATTAAAAATTTTTATTGTGCTTTGCCACACAGAATTGTCACATTTCTAACTTTACAAGTTGTAATTATCCTTACCTTTAGAGTTTTGCTATTACTTAATCCTCCAGCAAGGTCATCCTATCTAATAAAAGCCTAATATGCTAAGTGTCCAACTGTTCCTTCGACCATTTGACTGGTCGCTATGATGCTCACTGACCACCAGGGGGCAGATGCTCTGACCAGTAGGTTAGCTTGCTGCTAGGGTCCTGCAGATTGGGACTGGGCGAGATGGGCTGGACATGCCCTGGAGCCCTCCTGCAGTTCCTCCCTGGCCCTGATCGTGCACCGGTGGGGTCCCTTAGCCTGGCCTGTGCCCTCTCACAATCCAGGACCCCTCAGGGATGTTGGAGAGCTGGTTTTGGCCAGATCCCCGCAGGCCAGGCCGAGGGACCCCACCAGTGCACGAATTTGTGCACCCGGCCTCTACTGTTATCTATAACCTTGTGTGTGTTTATTCCACATCCTTATTTTCTCCCAGACTTTTGCAGTTTCACTTTCTTTTTTAAAAAAAAAAATATTTTTATTGAAATCAGAGAAGAAGAGAGAGGGAGAGATGGAAACATCAATGGTGAGAGAGAATCATTGATTGGCTGCCTCTTGCACGTCCCACACTGGGGATCAAGCCTGCAACCCAGGCATGTGCCTTTGACTGGAATTGAACCTGGAACCCTTCAGTCCCCAGTCTGATGCTCTATCCACTGAGCCAAACCCGCTAGGGCTATGCCTACAACTTTGAAGTCATCTATAATAAGAAAAGCGTAATATGCACATCAACCAAACGGCCAAACAGTGGAACGACTGTCCGGACAACCATGCTATGACACCCACTGGTGCCAGGCCAGCCAAGGCGGGTACGATGCGATTGGTCAGGGGCTAAGATAGACGTAAACATGAGTAGAACTTTTGCTATTTTATTTCTGCCCTCCAAGCTCCGGGTGTGGGGCCCTCCCTTTGGTGCCTGGAGGCATGGCTGTGTGGTGCTGTGTGGCCTGTAGATGCTGCTCCCCCATCTGCCCCTTCCTTTCCCCCATTTCTCATTTGTGAAACCAAATTATTTCTCTCTCTCTCTTTTTTTTATCCTCACCAGAGGAGTGAGGATTTTCCCCCCATTGATTTTTAGCAAGAGTGGAAGAGAGGTGGAGGGGAGGGAGAGAGAGAGAGAGAGAGAGAGAGAGAGTGAGAGAGAGAGAGACATTGATGTGGGAGAGACACATTGGTTGCCTCCCACACACACCCTGATCAGGGGTAGGGATCAAACCTGCAACCCAGGTACATGCCTTTGACTGGGACTCGAACCTGAGACCCTTCGGTGCATGGGTTGATGCTCTACCACTGGGCACACCAGCCAGGACACCAAATTGTATCTTAACCTGCTCTGGTTAGTGACCCTTTCTGAGCGTTTGTACATACAAGGACCATGTGTACAGGGCGTGTGCACGGCAGCCGCAGTTCTGCAGACAGAGTACTTCCCAGACTCCCAGTCACGCTGGGAGGTGGCCAAGAGGGCCAAGCTCACGTGGTCCCCCCTGCAGATTTTCAGACACATCCTGCAGCGAGAGTTCTCGGGACCGTACCAGTGCCTCTCCCGGAAGTTCACTGAGTGGTGCTACGGGCCAGTCCGGGTGTCACTGTATGACCTGGCCTCTGTGGACAGCTGTGAGGAGAACTCGGTGCTGGAGATCATCACCTTTCACTGCCGGAGCCCGGTGAGCCTGCCCTGCAGACACTCCCTGCAAGCTCCCCACCCGGGCTGTCTGCTGGCCAGTGGGGTGTGGCTGCAGGTCCTGACCCCACACTCATCCCACACGCCAGTCCCACCTGCTCTGGACAGGAGAGGCCCTCGGCCACTCCCTAGTCAGGAGGGTGGGGTGCAGGCAGGTGGGAGGGGTCAAGCGGGGCTCCCCATCCTCTCCTCTCCTCTCCATTCCCTCAGCCCTTGCACTGAGCCCATGAGTGGGCCCCTGTGTACACCTGCTGAGTGTCCCCTGTTGCTCACATTCCCACCCCAGCACCGACACCAAATGGTGGTTTTGGAGCCGCTGAACAAACTGCTGCAGGCGAAATGGGACCTGCTCAGGCCCAGGTTCTTCTTCAACTTCCTGTGTTTCTTGATCTACATGCTCATCTTCACCGCTGTTGTCTACTGCGAGCCTGCCCTGGAAAAGGCAAGGCTGGGGAGGGGCGGGGGCATACCCTGGGGAGGCCCCTGGAAATAGCCCTGGAAGAAGCTGGGACAAGGACACCCCCCCCCCGCCCCCTTTTGTGCTGAGGCTCTGACAGCTGAGTGATCCTCAGGCTTCCCAGCCGGGCCAGTGGGATGCCGGCTCCACAGGAGTTCACACGCACCATATGTGAGAAAGAGTCTAAGTGATTGACTTGTATTCACTTTAATTCAATTTCACAACAACCCTCTGAGATGAACCATTGTCCCCGTTTGCAGTGGAGGGAAGGGAGGGACAGAGGGGCAGGTAACTCACCCAGGCTCACACAGGCTGTAAGCGTGGAGATGGGATCTGAACCAGGCAGCCCGGCTTCCGATTCCCCCCTCACAACTGCTCCGCACGGTGGACTAGAATCCAGCGGGCCTGCCCCGAGCCCAGGTTCCCGCTGCTGCTCCGAGGGGAGGGGCCGCTCCACAGCTCAGGCTCAGAGCGGGTCCTCAGCTCTGGCGCTCGGAGGGAGGGCCATTGGGAGGGGACCCTAGGTCCTACCTGAGTGTCTCCTCACAGGCCTTCCTCCCCATGAAGGGGACAGTGAGAAACTCCCTGCAGCTACTGGGCCACATCCTGATCCTGCTTGGGGGCGGCTACCTCCTCCTGGGCCAGGTGAGGGCTCCTTCCTCTCCCCCACTCCGCGAGGAGCCTTAGAGCCAGGTCACCACAGTACCTTGGTTTATGGGGAAACTGAGAACCAGTCCCACCCTGACTGCCTCTGGGCGGTTGAAGGCCTCGCCTGCTGGGGCTGCTACCCTCCTACTATGCTTTCTAGAGCAGCAGTCGCCAATCTTTCGGACCTCATGGGCCACCGGTTGGCGACCGCTACCCTAGAGTGCCCGTGGTGTAGGGAATGGCTCCTATGACTCCTTGCCAGTTCCAGCTAGCCCCCTGGGAAATCGAGCTGGAAGCCCCAGCCCCTAGGTCCCTGGGCTGGGGCATTCCTCCCTTCGGGAGCACAGAAGGTGGGGCTCAGCCCACTCCCCCAGCTGGGCTTCAGCCTTTGAAAGTGCTGCAAGCTCGCAGGAGACAGCTGGGCTGGCACTGACTCTCAGAGTGGGCAGAACCTGGGCACCAACTCCAGGTGGGTTGGAGCCCAGGGTGGTGCCGGGAGGCAGGGAGAGGGAGGGCAGGAAGCTCCCCGCTTACCATAAGCAGTGCATGAGCTCTGGTTCCGGATCCACACGGAGCCAGGAGGCCCTGGCATTGCCTGGGTGTCTGTGGGTGGCTGCACTTTTTGGAAACAGGGTCCTAACCTTTCTTAGCTATCAGCAAAATTCATGAGCTCCTCTGAAAAGTTGCACAGGCTCCCACATTGCGAGAAGGCAGGGGCTGGTGGGAGCCCTGCCAGGGCCTGGCGGGTGGGGGGAGGGCTGTGTGTGGCCTGGAGAGCAAGTTTCCCACGCCTGTCCTTCCTCCCGCAGCTGTGGTACTTCTGGAGGCGCCGTCTGTTCATCTGGATCTCATTCTTGGACAGCTACTTCGAACTGCTCTTGTATGTGGGGCCTCGCTCCTCCTCCATCTCGGGCCCTAGAGAGGTGGTTGTGGCAGAAGGCACCCCGCAGGCTGTAGAGGGGAGGACCCAGGGCCGAGGGGCCCCAGGGGGTTGGAACCAGAGGCCAGACTCATGAGTCCAGCTGTCCAGCTTGGGGTTCCCTGCGCTCCCATCCGTGTAGAGCATTTACTGACCCTCACTGTGCACGGATGGAGCCTGAACTCTTTCTATGTCTTGTCTCATTGAACCCTCACAAATGCTCTGTGGGTCAGGTGGTTACTGTTACCTCATATCCTGGGGAGGGAACTGAGGCCCACAGGGGTGAAATAACTGCTTGGGGTGGAGGTCAGGACCTGATGGGGTCTAGACAGGTGGAGAACTCACCCACCAGACTGCAGCGGGAGAGGCCGTGGTGGTCAGCATTGGCCAGTGGGGACTAAGGGGGTCTTGTCAAGTGGCCTGCAAGCTGACCCTGTCCCTGTCTGCATTCAGCTTGGTCCAGGCCCTGCTCACGGTGCTGTCTCAGGTGCTGCATTTCCTGGCTATTGAGTGGTACCTGCCTCTGCTTGTGTCCTCGCTGGTGCTGGGCTGGCTGAACCTGCTTTACTATACACGCGGCTTCCAGTACACAGGCATCTACAGCGTCATGATCCAGAAGGTGAGAGGCAGGGGTGGCCCCGCTGCAACCGACTGGGCAGGGCTGGGCACCACACTCCAGCGGGACTCCTTCGGCCTCAGCAGTCAGGTGACTTCTTCCACAGCTCACCTGGCAGAGAACATGAGTATGTGCATCACGGACCCAGACACTCGCGGAGTGTCAGCAAGAGTGTGGGTGTGCACATACCTGCTCTCAGGGGTCTGCGCTCTGCCGACGTAAGCAAATACCTGCACTTGTGTGCCTGCAAGTGTCCACACGGGAGCACGTGCATGCTTGCACACTGAAGGAGCAGAGACTATGCACACAAGCCCATTATATGCCTGGACAGCTGGGCATATGGGTGTGCCTGCATTTATTTATTCAACAAATGTTTAGCAAGTCCATACTATGGACCAGGCCCTGTTTTAAGTGTTAGGAATACACTCTTCTGCTCACTAACAAAATAGACAAGTCCATGCTCTTTTGAAGCTGACGTTCTCTTGGGGGAAATGAAGGCACCACAAAAACAGATGAGAAGATTACTGACTGCTAACTCCTATGAAGGGAACACAGAGGACAGTGTGACAGAATGATCGGGCAGAGGGCTTTAGATAGAGTGGTCTGCAAGGCCCCTCTGAGGAGGTGGCGACTGAGACCTGAAAGAGTGATTCAGCATAGACTCAAGGAAGAAGATTCAAGACAAAGAGAACAGCAAGGAAAAGGCAGGAGTCAAAACAAGGTTGAAGTGCTGAGACAGATTAGGAGGTGGGGTGTGTGAAGGAGGTGAAGGTGAGGAGGCGGGGTGAGGTGAAGGTGAGGAAGGTGAGGAGGCGGGGTGTGTGAAGGTGAGGAGGCGGGGTGAGTGAAGGAGGTGAAGGTGAGGAGGCGGGGTGAGTTGAAGGTGAGGAGGTGGGGTGAGGTGAAGGTGAGGAGGTGGGGTGAGTGAAGGAGGTGAAGGTGAGGAGGCGGGGTGAGTGAAGGAGGTGAAGGTGAGGAGGCGGGGTGAGTGAAGGAGGTGAAGGTGAGGAGGCGGGGTGAGGTGAAGGTGAGGAGGTGGGGTGAGTGAAGGAGGTGAAGGTGAGGAGGCGGGGTGAGTGAAGGAGGTGAAGGTGAGGAGGCGGGGTGAGTGAAGGAGGTGAGGCGGGGTATGTGAAGGTGAGGAGGCGGGGTGTGTGAAGGAGGTGAAGGTGAGTAGGCGGGGTGTGTGAAGGAGGTGAAGGTGAGGAGGCGGGGTGAGTGAAGGAGATGAAGTTGAGGGGGAGTTGTTGCCCATAGGAAGGGGTCCTGGAGGCCCAGAAGACTTTAAAAAATTTTTAATTGTGGTAAAATGTACATAAAATTTACCATTTTAACCTTTTTTTTTTTAAATTATTAATCCTCACCCGAGGATATTTTTCTATTGATTTTTAGAGAGAGTGGAAGGGAGGGGGAGAGACGCAGAGACAGAAACATCAATGTGAGAGACACACATCAGTTGGTTGCACCCCACCGAGGTACGTGCCCTTGACCAGAATCCAACCTGCAACCCTTCGGTCCACAGGCCAACGCTCTATCCACGGAGCCAAGCCGGCCAGGCCTTAACCTTTTTAAGTGTACAAGTCAGTGGCATTAAGCACATTCACATTGTTGTGCAACCATCACCACCATCATCTCCAGAACGTCCATTATCCCACACTGAAACTCTGCACATTGCCCTCCCCAGCCCACGGCAACCACATTCTTACTTTCTGTCTCTATGAACTTGATGACTCTAGGTGTCACGTATAGATGGAATCACGCAGTATCTGTCCTTTTGTCACTGGCTTATTTCACTGAGCATAGTATTCTCAAGGCTCATCAGGTTGTAACATGTGTCAGAATTTCCTTCCCTTTTGTTTTTGTTTTGTTTTTTTTTCGTTAATCCTCATTCGAGGATATTTTTTCCCATTGATTTTTAGAGGGAGTGGAAGGGAGGAAGAGAGGGGGAGAGAGAGAAACGTGGATGTGAAACAGACACATTAATTGGTTGTCTCCTGTAGGTGCCTCAGGGATCAAACCTGCAACCCAGGTACATGCCCCTGACCAGGAATTGAACCCTGGGGCGACACTGTAATCACGGAGACACGCAGGCCAGGGCAGAATTTCCTTCCTTTTAAGATTGAATAGTATCCCATTGGATGGATATACCACGTTTTGTTTATCCCTTCATTCATCAATGGACACCTGAGTTGTTCCCACCTTTTGGTATTGTGAATAATGTTGCTATGAACATTGGTGTGTACAAATATCTATTTGAGTTCCTGTTTTCAATTCTTTTGGGTATATACCCAGATGTGGAATTGCTGAATCATATGGTAACTCTATGTTTAAATTTTTTTACCCTGGAGGGTTTTAAGCAGGAAAATTATATGATCTGATGTAGACTTTTAAAAGACCCGTTTGCTCAGTGTAGCTCCACAGGGCCTGTGTATGCACACACACACACGTGTGTGTGTGTGTGTGTGTGTGTGTGTGTGTGTGTGTGTGTGGTATGGACATAGGAACCCAAGCTCGGGATCAACGCAGGGGTCTGGGGTCATGTCCGGTCTGGTGGCCCAGCCACCCACCTGAGCTCCTGGTCTGTGTGTTCTAGGTCATTCTGCGGGACCTGCTCCGCTTCCTTCTGGTATACTTAGTCTTCCTTTTCGGCTTCGCTGTAGGTAAAGGTTCCCCTCCTGCCCCTGCCCATCCCTTGCTGCCCTTAAACCCCCAAGTCTACCAGCTGGTCTCCCCAGGCTGACGACCCCATTCTACCCTCCTGCAGCCTTGGTGAGCCTGAGCCAGGAGGTCCGGGACCCCAGGGTCCCCGCAAGTTCGAATGCCACGGAGGCAGCGTTGTCTGGAGCAGGACAGGAGGACGGGAGGGCAGCGAGGTCCCATACCGTGGCATCATGGACACCGCCTTGGAGCTCTTCAAGTTCACCATCGGCATGGGCGAGCTGGCCTTTCAAGGAGCAGCTGCGCTTCCGCGGGGCTGTGCTGCTGCTGCTG